TTTTTCATGTGAATCTTATGTGTTTTTGTTATTATTACTTTTGCTCTTTTGTACTTTTACTAAATATATATAAATCATATCCACACAAACACTGATATGTTTACAGTTAGGGACATGTGGTTTTACATTTTCTTTAATTGAATCATAAATAAATGAGCCCATGAGTTTGTTTTACAAATATTTATTGTATTTATTATTCAATTTTAAAGACAAAAACTCTCAAAAATGTTTTTTAAAAATACTTTCAATCACTCTTTTACAGTTATTAACATCATATTTACATCTGGACATTTTTTAAATATGAGAAACAACCGCTGCAGTTGCTTGTTTTTGCTCATCGAGTCGGTATTTTTGTGTTATTTGAGGGATGCATTTAAAGGAGACACTTTCTAACATGTTTGTAGTGAGGACAGAACATCAAGGTGAACTCTTCTAAGTTTGTTTTTATGACTAAAAACAATCTGTACAATAAACCTGCTTTTAAATGACTGAAGAATGACCAACATGACTGTAGTACTTCTACTTTCATTATAGTTCTATAATGCAGATATATGATACTTTGGAATATTGTAAATTGTACATATGGAAATCTTTGTATTGTATTTTTTTCGTGTTTGCTTTTTTTACTTTTTACTTTTAGTTTTTGTATATTGTTGTATAACTATTTGTTTTATTTTATTTGATGCTACTGGGATAAAACCATTTCCTTTGTGCATCAGTAAAGTTGATCTAAGTCACCTGCTGACTGATTGAGGCTATACTAGAGTTCAACATTCAAATGGCACAGACAGGCAGGTTGTAGCATATAATCGTGCCATGCTGTGCTGCAGAGCATGTCAGCACCATCGTACAGTCACTTTTATGTTTCCGGCGTAGCCACCAGCATTGTTTGTACACGTGTCACTGATTGCGTAAGCTGACTGAGGAAGTACAGTTTCTATACTCTGCTCTACATGCCTGAACAGGAGACGACACGGGAAAGGAAGCGTCCGTTTACTTCCAGAAACTTCAATATTTCATCTTCAGATCCATTTTTAAACCTGCACTTCTTCTTTGACCTGAGGATAACAGCTCAGTAAAGGTAGGCTACGTGCACCGTATATCTTGTAAAGACTCTCCACAGGTGGCTCTAGTTTATCCTGTCATACACACGGCAACAGCATTTTTCTTGTCTGTGCATAAAGAAATGATTTTATTCTGGCCTTTTTGCAGTTCATTGTAAAGGCTTTTAGTCGTTTAAAGATGATTTCAGTTTATTTATGTAAGCCATATTCACATAACAATGAATACAAAACAGAAAAATGCCCAAAGATGATCAAACTGAAAGCTAAAACGAAGTATGTTGTCATAGCAATGGATACAGGTGTACTTTATTATATGGTAGTGTATATTCTCAGACAGCCCGGTGCTATGGGTTTCTTCTGCGGTCGCTTTAGGTGTACTTACAGTGAATCTGATGAGTTGTTTTAGCTTTGACTGCTTAGTTTTTCAGAATCCCTACAAGTGGCACAAGATTTTTTTTTTTACATCCTACTATGTAAATATTTGAGTTGAGTGTCATGTGTCCCGCTGCAGGCCATGGACAAGCTGAGGTCAGAGCAGGACAGACTGTGTTCGTGGCTCTCAGATGACCC